CTTCTCCTCCCCCACCTTTTATAAAACATATTTTCACAACAAAATCCACTGAAAAGCTGGGAGAAGGCAGGTGAGCGTTTTGCTGCGGTTTCCTTGGCTGCTGGAGAAAAACAGCTGCTGAGTATCACGGCACAGCGATGGCAGAGCGAGCAGCTCACGGAGGAGGGAGCAAGCTGCTACACCGAGCTAAACCTGTCTGAGCGAAAGGGCTGAGCCACTGCCCCCCACCCACTCACCCACTCACCCACTCACCGCAGCGGGTCCGGGCCGGCTTGCGGGGCTGCTGCGGCGGGATGCGGGATGCGGGATGGAGGAATGGAGGGATGGAGGAGCGCGGCTCCGGCTGCTGGCCGGGCTGAGCGGTGCCCCCGGGTCTCACCCCAGCCGCGGGACGAGCCGGCAGCTCCGTACCCCGCGCTCCGTCATCCCGGGGAGTCTCCACCCTCTCCTTTTCTGGGGAGGGCAGGGCCAGGACGAGCCGCTGCTGTCACCTTTTCTGCTTTAGCTGAACTACTCGTGAGCTGCCACAACGGGACCACGCCGATAGTGCTGACGCTGTGAGTAAAGGAGAGCATCTCCACCTGCCCGAGGCTTGCAGCCATGCAGGGTGGGATGAATCCCAGCACGGCATGCCAGATAAAGCTCAGTTGGCTGTGACATCTTCTCTCCTGGTGTTCCCTGGAGCTTTTCTGAGCCCATCACAGGATAGTATGTGGGTACGACGCTGATGCTGTGGAAAGAACCAAAGGCAAGGCAGCCTTTGTTATACAAAGTAGGAGCACTGGTCCCCAGCTGAGGTTACTGGGCAGCATCAGCCACAACTTTCCAGGAGCTGTACTAACTGGGAGCAGGATCAGTGACAGGTATGCCACTTCTCCTATGTGCTCTCTGATGCAGTTTTGCTTTCCAGGACAGATGTAGCTTCCAATAACCCCAAAAATCAGGTTGGGCAAACTCTGGGGGATGCTGAAGGAACTCCTTCAGTTCTGTTGGCACCATCCCACGTGAGGGCTCTGACAGAGCTTTGACAAATGCATGAGCCTGTGGAGTCACAATCTTTCTCCTTGGGAGATGACGCAGAAGAGTACACGTTATGGATGGTTTCCATTTAAAATCATGATTTTTAAAATAATCTCTTTTTCCTAGCGAGACGCATCACTAATTATTAAACAACAAGGCTGCCTGTAAGAGCTCTCCTGGACCAAACACCACAGGGCTGTATTTTTAAATGTAGCTGTAACCTGGGAGAGATAAGTATATCATTGTTCATGAAGCATGCTCCTGAGACTTTGTTCTTTCCTTTATCAATGATTTTATAATAATTAACTCTCTGCTGTATTTATATGAGACTTAGAGGCCAGCCACCAGCTAGTGAAAATCATTGCATAGTCCCAGTGGCATTTGAGAAGGCGCACACGTGGCCAAAGAGGTGCAGAAATACTGTTACCTTGTTCAGGGAGTGCATATCTGCAGCCTGGGCTGGAAACCTCAGGAGACAATTTGTAATATCAGATCTGGCCTATCCCCAGGCAGCTTGATGCAATAAGGACTCAAAGGTGTAGTAAGTTGCTACATTGGGATGAGCTGCTGACTCCCTTGAAGGCCCTGCAGAGAGACCTTGCCAAGTTGGAGGGCTGGGAGATCACCAACCACATGAACTTTAAACAAAGACAAGTGCTGTGTTTTTCACCTGGGGTGGGGCAGCCCTGGGTGTACAGACAGACTGGGGAATGAGAGGCTGGAGAGCAGCGCTGTACAAAGGGCCCTGGAGGTCCTGGTCAATGGAAAGTTGGATCTGAGTCAGTGCCCTGGCAGCCAGGAGGGCAACTGTGTCCTGGGGGGCATCAGGCACAGCATCACCAGCTGGGCAAGGGAGGGGATTGTCCTGCTCTGCTCTGCTCTGGGGCGGCCTCACCTCCAGTGCTGGGGGCAGTTTGGGGAGCCAATATATAAGAAAGTATGAACTACAGAGAGCATCCAAAGGAGGCAACAAAGATGGTGAAGGGCCTTGAAGGGCAGCCATACCAGGAGTGGCTGGGGTCACTTGGTCTGCTCAGCCCAGAGAAGAGGAAACAGAGGAAAGACCTCATTGGAGTGACAGTTTTGTTGTGAGGGGAAGAGGAGGGGCAGACGCTGAGCGCTTCTCTGTGGTGACAGTGACAGGAGCTCAGGGAATGGCCTGAAGTTGTGTTAGGGGAGGTTTAGGCTGGATATTAGAAAAAAATTTCTTCGCCCAGAGGGTGATAGGGCAGTGGAACAGGCACCCCAGGGAAGTGGTCACAGCTCCAAGACTGACAGGGTTCAAGAAAATTTTGGACAATACCCTTGGGTACATGGTGTGGTTCTTGTGACTGTCCTATGCTGGGCCAGGATTTGGACTTTATGATCTTTCTTGGGTCCCTTCCAACTCAGGATATTCTTCCATGAGTTAGGAAAAACCAGAGCACTTGCACAGGATGCAGAGAGAGGTGACTTTTGCTCTCAGCATGACTGGTGCTCCAGATTAAACCAACCAACCAACAACAACAACAAAAGGAGATGAAAAACTGTGGTTATTTTGTTTGCACAGATATTTGCTCTACTTTTAAGAGCCAATATGGGTTTTTTTTGTGGTTTTTTTTTGGGTTTTTGGGGGTTTTTTTGTTGTTTTTGGGGTTTTTTTTGTTGTTGTGGTTTTTTTTTTTTTTTTATTGTGGGCACAGGTATCCTTAAGATTGTCAATTCACGGTTGTTCCTGTCTTCAGGCACGGAACAGACTGTCTGAAGGAAAGTCCCAATTGTTGCTTGCATTAGAGTCTGAAACACTGACTGAAAGGAATTCAGCCTTTCTTCAGTTTCGGGAGCTGGCCAGGAGCAATTTAACTTCACAGGGAGGTTTTTTCTCTTGGACACATGTATAGGACACATGTCTAGACAGTCTAAAGGGACTGTGTTATCAGCTCTGTTAGCTGCTAAGATGTTTAGTGGTCCTATATAAAGATAGTACAGAGCCATTCACATTCAAATAAGTAATGAATGAAATGCATTGTAGGAACATGATTCCTCAGAGATAAGATTACATATTTCATTAGGGAGAGACAATGCACACTTTGGCATGTCATGGCTTTGCTGCTGCAGGGTTCCCACAGGGAGCAAGGCTCATGTCGTGCTGCAGGGCTTGAAACATGTGCCCTCAGGAGTGCAAAACTCAGTAATGAATTCTACCCTAATAAATCCTTTTCGATCTTACTGTTTCCAAGGCCATGCCTGCCCCACATGCTTATTTATAATGCACAAAAAGTGCTCATAAATTTTTCCTCATCTAGCTTTGGGCAAACCTGTGGTGTATGATAGGATTACTTAATGTTAGCAACTGATTAAATATGGAGTTCAACTTTTCACACTTCTGTTTTGTGCTTGGTCCCATGTGAGGCACACCCATAACATGCAGCTGACCTTTGGTCAGTTCACAACGCATTAACCCTGAGATGTTAAACACACCATAAGTGAGGTATCACCTTATCATTCAGTCCTTCCAATACTCTGTTTAAATATTAAATCTGGCAGAACGCCACCACCAGCTGTCCATTAACTGAAATAAAAGGTGAAATCTGCACAGCAGCAACACCAGCCAAGGTGTGTCCCAAGCTGTGCCCGCCCCTTTTTTGTTTGGAGTTGAATGAAGCTCTGAGCTTTCACTTCAGCACTGGCAGGCAATGTTTAAAAACCTGATAAAATTTTATTACAAGGAGAAGAATACACATCTTGTATGAGTAATTGCTATTGAAAGACTCAAGGTGATGAACCTCAAGGAAGGGATGTAGACATTGAATCTAATGTTGATCAACATGATGCTCACCAGGAATGCTCTGGAGCTGCAGATTAGGCTGGCATGATGCTGTGCAGTATTTCCAGCTTGGTATCAAACCTCTCAGGAGTCATTTGGTCTGTCTCATTAGCCCTGGAAATAACATGATGGGCCTTTCCCTTGTAACGTTTAACATTCCCATAACAAATAACTTAAACTATGCCCCAGAAAAGTACCAGTTTAATCACTGTGATGTTAACATCACATATTTTCCTTGAGTGGGAGATTTCCTAGCAGGCTCCCTGCTGCTCAGAGTGAGCTGCATTTTACTGATGTGTTCCAACCTCCTGAATTTAGGTTTAGAGCTATAACCCTTCACAACCTTGCTTTGAAAGCAGAGCCGCTTTCTCCACACCGTCAGCAGCGGCACAGCCTCACCCCTTCACACCGGGGGCAAGTGCAGCGGGAGTTGTGATGGTGAGAACAGGCGAGTGGAAAAGGTGTTTTTGAATAAATTCTTATCCTGTCCTGCAGGTAGCAGCTCAGAAGCACAGACATGACAAAGCCTCCGGGCTCCCTGCAGCCCTCTCTGGGCAAAGCCCCACCTTTCTCTGTTGAAAGCAATAAACTTTAAACCAGTCTGAGCCAGAGCAACCCCAGTCCCAATTTACCTCTTCCTTGTTTGTCACCATGGTAGCCAATGTATAAAACTTTACACCCCCAAGCCCCAGCTCTTCCACTATAGCATATTACAGCCACAAGCTGCAGGGGCCTGACCACAGAGAAGCCACTCCCATGTGATAGTTTCTTCACAATGTTTATGTGGGGAAAGCAGAGTGACTGGAATCCACAGCCTCACCATCACTCCACACTTGTGTCTTGGTGCTGAGGACAGTCCAGGCATCCATAGGGATGGGCTCAGTGCTCTTGGGCCTCTCTGAGCAGTGGGCAATGCTGTCACCAGCTCTGCACATTGCTGGTGTCCACAGAGAAGTTGTTCCCATAGCAGACTTGACTTCTGTTTTATCTTCTCCTCACTGAGTGGTCAGACCATTTTTGTGGTCAGACCATTTTTGTGGTCAGACCACTCATTCCAGTGTGGGTGTGCAAGAGTATGCCTCATTTACCCAATAACCTTATCATGCCTCTGGCCACACAGCCTAGAAAAGTACAACACTGATTCTGGTGATGCAAAAAGACACAGAGACAGAAGTAACAGCACACAGGCAGGAAGACAGGCAGTGCTTTTATTGCTGGCTTTACCCCGGGAAAAGGGGATGGAGCACAGTGAAGGCAAACTCCTGATGGTGCAGATCCCAACATCCAGGGCACAGCAGCTCCTGTCTGCAGTGGCTTCACAGGGCGTACTGAAGATGGCAGCATCTGCAACGGGATAGGAGAGCAGGCTCACCCTTTCCTCAGCCATTACTGCTCCAGCACTGCTGCAATTCTGCATCTGGAGTCAGGTGTCGGAGGAAAGGGAGACCCCGGGAAGCCGCTGGGTGCTGTGCAGCAGTGAGACAAAGTAGGGCCAGCACCCCCAGCTTACCAAAATATGCCCATTGCCCTCCTCCGGTTGATGTCTCTCTTCAGCTGGCAGAGTGCACACGGGCCACACCACCAGATAGAGCAACAGTCTTGCAGGATGGAGCCCTGTGGAGCAAGGGCTATGGCATGAAAAACCCCTTCCCACACCAAACGTTGAGCCTTTCAGCCTTTCTATTTTACATCGTCAGCACCCCGTGACATCTCACCCGGCCCTGCAGCATCCTGCTGCTCACATCCAGCAAGGACTGGGATGAAGCAGTGTGTGCTGGGATTACCTCCAGCTCACAGGGGTGAGGCAGACGTGTCCCTGAGTCCTGGCCAGCTGGGATGCTCATGCAACACCTCACCTCTGCCCTTCCCCTTGGGCACGCCTTTCTCCTTCCGTGAGCCCCCAGCACCCATCGCCCATCCCGCGGCTGTTGTCGCTGTTGGGACGGGCCCCTGAGCTGGTCACTCACCGGGATGTTGTATCTGGTGCGGTACAGGGTCCTCATGGCCACGCTAGAGCCACACAGGGAGCACTCATTCATGTCCCCAGCCACTTGGCATGTCAGGCAGGTGAAGCAGAACGTCCCACAGAGACCTGTGGGACAGTGAGACGTGGGCTTGGCCGAGGGGTGCAAACAGGAAGGAAAGAGGGAAAAGCCAGCCGAGAGCTGTGGATCTTGACACCAGGTAAGAGCTGACCTGCCTCCAGTACCCATGGAAGTGGGGTTTGCAGCAGGGGTAATGCTGCAGGAGGAGCAGGGTAAAACACCATGGAAACATCACGAGGAGCAGTAGGAATGAAGGCTACGTATGTACTCACACACGCCACAGTCGGAGCAGCAGTCCAGCAGCCCTGTCTGCCACTCCCCCGGCTGCTGGGCAGCTGAAAACATGGGCTGGACCGTAACCACAGTTTGAGAGGCCATTGCCAGCACGGGCTCAGGTCCCTCCAGGAAATTTGCGATCTGGAAAGAAAAGCCATCAGAGGAAGATGCTGCGGGTGTTTCTGAAGTGGGTGTCCTGCTCAGGCTGCTGCATTCAGAGAGAATTCCCCGGGGAGTCCCCACTGCCAGGGTAATGTCACCCTCACCACGAAGTGGGGGGCATAACTCTGCCAGAAGCTGCCACTACCCTCTGAAGCAAAGCCCTCCCCAAAACCAGTCTCTGACCAAAGGCAGCAGCACATCATCCCTATGCAAGTAAAACGCCTCTGTGAAAACAGAGGTTCTCCTGCTTCATAACTGCAGTGTTTCAACACTTCAAACTAGTCTTTTCAACTCCAGGTCATCTTTCATCATTGTCTGCGTAAAATCAGATAAAAATATCTGTGTAAAATTGTCTGCATAAAATTGTCTGCATTTTGGGCTGTTTGCTTGTTTGTTTGTTTGTTTGTTTTGTTTTGTTTATGATCACAGTCCCCCAAAGTTACTACTGCTTAGTTCTAGCCTCCCCAAGCTTTCAGGAGTCACCTTAATCTTTGCTTTGTTCTGTGAGAATCTCAGCCTGTTTGCTTCCCCCACTCCCTTCCTTCTTCACTTGCCTTCTTAGTGTGCTTCAAGACAGTGGGTTTTCCGTGTCTCTTTCCATCACCCTAAGCCCTGCCATCAGTTCCTCTCTCTCCTCTACTTAACTGTCTGCGCCAACATCTCATCCTCCTCTTCCTCAGTCTTGTGGGGTCACCATGGCCTGTGGAGTTCCTCTTCATTCCATCCTTCCTCAGCAATGGTCTGCATTCTTTGAGAGTAGGAAAGCTCCTGCTCCACAGTACCATCCCCAAAATCACCTGACCAATGTAACAACTCCACCTGCACATCCATCAGTGGCCCCTTCCCTCCCTGCCACCCCTGCAAGGCACAGCACCAGCTTCTGCCACTCTCACTTTTGGTTTTGGAGCTTTTGTTAAAGCAAACAAACCAAAAAATAGAGGATTCTCCCACAGGAGAACTCCCATGCAGACACACGCCCTGGCCTCTGCCCAAGCTCAGCACCAATTCGTTAAGCACCCTAAGAGGATTGTTTTCACACCAGAATTGCACAGTTACACAAAGTTAAGTATTAAGCAACACAAGAAATGGGGTGGAACAATTACTATGCCCAGCACTCAGAGCTCATTACCCACATCAGAGTGGCACCAGCTGTGGCATTGCATTTGTACTGACTAATGCCAACAGGTGGCACAGGGTTGATGGCTGTGCTGGAAGCTCCTGTGACTCCCCAGCATACAGACACATCCCAGTTATCAGAAACAGCCTGTTGCTGTAGGATGAGCCCTTGTTCCTGGCAGTCCCAGGAAGAGGAAACAGATTGTTGAATTACAATCAAGAGGTGTAAGAGGGAAGAAAGCTGGTAAAATTCTCCACATGGTTTGCTCCTGACTTTTTGCAGCTTTCTGTAGGCAGTGGAAGCATGGCTGGGCTGTCCTTATCTGAGATACCTGTGAGTGCAGCAGGGGACACTGCACCCCTCGTCCCTCTCCAGATGCCTCCTGGCCCTGCCTTGGCCAGCTGTCCCTGTTTGTTCATCCACGAGATCCCAGGTAATTCCCACTACCTCTGCAGCCAATGTAACACCTCCTGGCAAGCCAAAACAGCAGCCCCTTCAGGAAGCCTTGGCACATGATGATTTAAGAAGCAAGAACCAGGAGGGGCAGGGAAGGAGACAGACCATGGACAGGCTGTGCAGTGGTAAGCCCAGCATGGGGCTCCCATGCAGCAACAGGGATGTCCAGCAGCAGGCAGGACCACAGGGACCATAGGGAGAAGTGTGTACAGGAGCAGCAGCAGCAAGAGAAATTTTAGTGGCAGGATCCCTCCAGTCAGGCTCCCCCTTCCCCTCCCCAGGTAGGAGCACACCACATCCCTGCACAGATAGTGGCTGCAGTGTGGAGCAGGCAGCAGCCTGAGAAGCCTCTGCCACAAACTCACCTACAAAGAGATGGCCCAGGCCCAGCACACCAAATGTATGACAATTTCACAATTCACACCCCCTGGCATCACCAGCCATGCTGGAATGACTGATGGGGACAAAAGGATCCTGAGGCTCATGCAGCTACATTTCACCAACAGCCAGAGTCATAAAGCTGTATCTGTAGGCACTGTATGTGCACAAATACAGTGCACTATATGAGCAACACAGTACAAAAACTGCTGTCCTCTACCTCTGTCCCCACACCTGTCAAGATGCCATCAGCAGCACCCACCATGCTGTGGTTAACCCTGAAGCAGCTTTCCAGGTAGAAAACCTCACCTTTGCTTCCAGCCCTTCCCCCTGCCCAGCATCACCACTTCAGCCACGAGCAGTTCCGTACCACAACCAAAGCAAAGCCATGCCATACGTACTTTCCAAGCTGTCCTTGTCCCAGCAGTCACTCACACCCTCTTACACCTTGTCCTTTTCCTGGTTCTCATGCTTTATATGTGCTCTGGCAAATGACCTCTGCTCCCTCTGACTAACAGAGCAAATGGTAGCTTAGGTGCAGCTTTTTAGTGGCAGCTTCCCTGCTGCATTCCTGCTGCCAGCCCTTGCCTTTCCCCACCCAGGCATTCTCCAGGCCCAGAGCCCTGGTGGGAGAGGTTTCCAGAGAAGGGCAGTTTGTTTCCAGACTCCTGTGCTGCCCTATGTGCTGCAGGAGGTGCAGCACCTTTCCTTTGTCAAACCTGAGCATCTGCAAGAACTGCCTGGAACTGCACTGGGTGACACGGGGGCGGCCTCTCTCAGGCTAAAAGTGCATTTTTCTGCATTGCCAGACATCATCCATAGGACCATATAAGCCATCTGGGTTTAAGCAGTTGGGAGTGCCTTCACACCCACCCAGCCCTCAGCATGGACAGAGCCACTACTTGCCCTTAAAAAAATTTGTGGTAAAGGTGAAGACAGAGTGGGGACAAAAAATTAACCATATTCTCCTTAAAGCATGAAGCTGGGAGATATTTGCAGGGATCAAAAGTCCTTTAGCATTTCTCTTGAGAGTGATGGAGAGAGAGTGGATGCAACCTCCACCTTCTAGAGGGGAATGCAGGGCTCACAGCCCAGTGCAGACAGATGGGCCGTGTAATGCCATGCAGGAAAATGGCACTATTTGTACCTGGAGGACACATATAACCCATGACCCAACCAGGTGGCTGTCCAGGGCTGTTGGTCAGTGACACCTTTCTGAATTAGGGGCTCCATGGCATCAGCTCATCTTGGTGTTGAAGAGATATGGACCCTGAGTATTAATTCCTCTTCACCTGCAATAAATAACCTGGCTGGGTTGTGAGTTATCTGTGTTATCTGGAGCAGGAGAAGGATGGGCGCTCTCAGGTGGTGCACAAGTGACATACACAGAGGTAGGAAGACAAACTCAAAACTTTATTTCTGCAGTTAAGTATGGAAAATCAAATGCAATCAAGGCAAACTCCACATGGTGCATTTCCCAACAGTCAAAGCATCAGTGGCTCCTGCTTGCAGCAGCTCCAAGAACGCAGTGAGGATGGCAGCATCTGCAACAGGATGGAAGAGGAGTGTCAGGACTGAGTTGTGCCTCACCACACTGTGTGTATCACCCCAGTCCTCCCCCCTCCACAAAGTCCCCAGTGACATTTTGCTTCGGGACAGGTCACTCTGGTCAACTGTCCATGGTCATTTGCCCACTGCAGCAAACTTGGTCTGGTGTTGAGATGTTGGCAGGAGAGGCTCTGGGAAGTCACCTGGCTGTGTGTGATGGCAGCTTTATGGAGCAGCACCAGCACCCCTGGCTTACCAGAATATGCCAAGCTCCCTCCTGCGGTTGATGTCTCTCTTCATCTGGCAAACAGAGCACACGGGGCACCACAGGGTGACACAGTAGTCAGAGCAAATGGACCCCTGTTAGGGAGAAACTGGTTAGGGACAGAGACTTCCCAGAGACCATGTTCCAGCCAAGAAAATGTTAATCGCATTCCAGGTCAAGTGCTCCTTCTTTTCTCAGCAGGCTGCAGCATCCAGAGTAGAAAACACTGAAACCCTGGGCTGGCAAACCACAGGCACCACGGGAAGAAAGGAAGGAGCCCTTTGTGCAGACTGCAGATAGCTACTTATCTTTTGACTTCTGAGGTTCAGACTGGGAAGAAAAATGCTCACAGGAACACACAATGTAGGCAGATTGAACTTGGGACCCTATGGTTTGCCCCTGGGATGCCAGCAACCACCTCCTCTGCAGGAAGAAACACCCTCACGTATGCACTGTCCACCCTTCTCCCAAACCTGATTATGGATCTTTATCAGTGTAGCCAACTTCACCTACTCTTTATTCAGCCCACAGTTATCTCAAGACTTTCCCATCATTCAAAGCTCAAAGAAGGAAGCAGCAGCGGAGGTAGATACGAATGGGAAAAAAAGGGGAAGTGGAAATCACTTCTGTGCTGAGCCCCTCCCTTAAGTGCAGAGAGAGGGGCCTTGGGGCCTTTCAGCAGGGTGAGGGGGGAGGCTCGGCACTCACCGGGATGTTGTATCTGGTGCGGTACATGGTCCTCATGGCCACGCTGGTCCCACACAGGCAGCACTCGTTCATGTCCCCAGCCACTTGGCACGCCAGGCAGGGGAAGCAGAACATCCCACAGCAGCCTGGCAGGGGAAGAAATACAGCATTGGCTGAGGCTCTGCCAGCCCACCTGGAACCACTGGAGCAGCTGGGAGAGCCAGGCTGTCTGGCTGCACAGTGGCACCACCCAGCCAAGCAGCAGGAGCAGGGCAAGTGTGTCCTAGGCACTCACAGACACCACAGTCAGTGCAGCAGTCCATCAGGCCTGTTTGCCACGTGCATCTTGAGACAGAGGACATGGCCCCACCATACTGAGGCTGGATAGTTACAACAGTTGGGACAGCCATTCCCAGCTCCTCTTCTGAAAGACACAGGAAACAGGACAGTCAGTGAAAAAACTATTGGTGGGAACTGAACCTCCAACCAGAATGGTGGCCACCTTTTGCCCAGCTCCCCAGCTGCCACTGGAGGTGATAGAGCATAACCATATCTTGCTTACATTTCTATCTGTTCAAGGTTTTTGCTTTATCTGACATTTTATCCAGACTTCAAAATAGCATCAGGCCACCGATCTTCCCCAC